ATATAAAAAACATTATTGGGGTTTTCTGGCAAAAATTGTCAGGGCTTAAGTAAAAAAACTAAATTCTTTTTTACTATGATTCAATTTTTAGAAGCATGATGGACACAACTAAAAAAGAAACTAATTACATATAATAAGTGTATTATAAATTTGGCGACGGATATACCTTAGTGAATAATACCTCCATCAACTCACGTGCTTATTACTACTGTGATTGAGAGAGACAATGGAGCCGTCTAGGATTACAATTTTTTTTCCATTTCTCAGTAATTAAAATATTTTAGTTTAATTATTAGTTACTATTGATTAAGCAGTTTATTTGATTCAAGATTAGATAACTATTCCATCATTAGATCTCTTGATGCTTGGATAATGATGGCAATATCAAATCATGTCTCTGGTTCATTAGGATTGTTTGTCGTAGAATTTCGGCTTGAGTTTTCATATATGTGCAATTATAAAAATATAAAGGTTAGTTTCTTCATCAATAATATTTAAATTACAATTTTAATATTTTTTCGTTAGAAGCAATTACTTCGCAAGTACAATAGACGGTTTTAAATGAGAAAATGAGTGCTTTATGGTGTGCCATGGTGTAAACTGTAAAGAGAGCGTAAATTACACATTGAGCTTTACTTAAAAAATAAAAAATAAAGGCCAATTGTTTACATTTTTCTCAGATTAATATTATAATCAAGTTTGGTAATGGAGGGCATTAATGTCATTCCACTTTGATTGCTCAAAGCCTGCCGACGTGCATGTACGAGGGCTTTCTTTGGAGGAGGACCCAGCTCGTGGGCATCCATTGCTCATGTCAGTGTCTAGCACCATATAGGTTAAATTTGTGGGGTTTTTCTTCTTATAATTTCTCCTTTTTTCGATTCATGATTTGATTGATTAATTAGGTAAAGTGATCATATGCATATCTTCTATGTTTATGTCCGAGTATAAATATATGCAATAAGGAAAACAATAACAGCAGCTAAGCTTTTATTCTAAATATTTAGGATTGGCTATACGAATCCTAATTTTCTATTCCATTCTGTAATGGGTCATCTCCTTCGTTAAGTTAGTCCTAATCATATTCTTTTTAATTACTTTTAACTAAGTCATTCTAGGTCTATTTCTAGATATCATATCCCCATTAACTCTAATATTATCGATTTTTCTAATCGGTGCACTAAGAGATTTGTAAATATTTATTCTCTCTTATTTTATCCTTAATAGAAATAACCTCTAATTTGCTACAGATGCACTCATTTTTTATCCTATCTTTTAATGTATAAATATATCTAGGCGCATGTGTCTTTTCCAGAGATAATAGACATTGCGTAATCTCTACTATCTTCACAGCCCTGATATGTATTTATCATCTGTTTAATCTTGAGTAAAATGTATTACTTTGATAAAAAAGAGCTTAGTTGGTTTTTCCTTTTTTTTTTTTTTTGAGAAATTGTAAATGTCCATGAGTAAATAATTTTCAAATTGTAAAACACAGACTGCATGAATGATACAATTTTATATGCATGGATCAATTTACAATTGGTTGATTTTTTTTAAGGTAGAAATAAGGTGTTGTTGTGCGCATGGGAATTGAAAGAGCACGAACACAAACGAGATATAATCACAAAACAATAACCAGAACACAAGCACCACACATCAAGACACCAAATTTACGTGATTCGGCAATGTGCATACGTCTACGAGGTAAGGAGGGGAGAGATTTCACTAATAAGGAGAAACAAAGTACAAATAGGGTTCACAATCACACAAAAACTTACAAATAAAACCCTCAAACAAGCTCTCAAATCCCTCACAATTTCTCTCTAAAAGTCTGATCAAAACCCTCTCATAGTCTGCTCAAAAACGTCTCTCATAAACCCTAGAAACGTCATATTTCTATTTATATCAAATAGGATTCCAAAACCAACTGGGAAAAACCGACCATGCCCATAACCGCAATCTGGTCGACCGGATATTATGTTTCGGTCGACGAGCCAGAAGATTAAAATTCTACCATGTAATCCAGCACATCTTCGGTTGACCGCATAGACATGATCGGTCGACCGGATCATATCTTCGGTCGACCGCACATACATGGTCGGTCGACCGGTCAGAACATGGTTATAAGACCTTGTTCCGTGTAAGTTTCCGATCGAGTCGACCTAAGCCCGCATTCAACCGGCCAGCACCCAAAATGTCTCCAGCTTCGTTTTTTCTATACTTTTTTGCCGTTTTCGTCATTTCTACAAATCTCCATCTTGGTGAAGTTTTTCCAAAAATTGAGCTGACCTCAATACCAATCATCCCACTTGTTGCGTCCAGTACGAAGTGGAATTAATCCACAACAACGGACTCAATCCATAATAAGTCATGAATCCAAATGAGAACTCAAACAATATCCCTCTTTGTCGATATCAACTCATCAAACTGACTGCATCAAACTGACCTCCTACGTATTCTTTTGCTCAAGAAATCAAACCTCACGTAGTTCACTCAAATGGCCTCCAAAGGCCCTCAACAACAAAGAATGTTCAACAACTCCAAACAATGACCAAATTTCACCCCAGTGATAACTTTGATCAACATATCCATCAAATTATCATTTGTGTGGATCTTCTCCAATATAATGTCTCTATCATCTAAGACATCTCGCACAAAATGGAACCTGATATCAATGTGCTTTGTTCGAGCATGATACACCTGGTTTTTTTCCAAATAGATAGCTGACATACTATCGCACTTTACCTGATGGTATCTTGTGCAATTCCCAAGTCATTCAATAAGCCCTGCAATCACAAAGCTCAAGGATCCTTCACAGCTTCAGTCAACGCCATATACTCTGCATCCGTAGTAGAAAGAGACACTATAGACCGAAGTATACATCTTTAACACACCGGTGCTCCTGCTAGTGTAAATACATATCCAGTAGTAGACCAGTGTTTATCAAGATCCCCAGCATAGTCTGAATCCATATATCCAATACAATCCTACACATTCTTCACGGCCTCTCAATGACCCTTCCCGGGGTCGTGCATGTACCTAGACCTCATGTTTACAGTCTGTGATAAATCTAACATTGTACACACCATAGCACACATCAAGCTATCCACAATACTGGCATATGGAATTTTAGACATGTATTCACGATCCTCAACTGAAACATGTGACATCTTAGCTGATAGCTTAAAGAAGGGAGCTAATGGAGTACTCACCACATTGGCATTACCATCAAAACTAAATTTCTTCAGCATCTTTTGTAAGTAGCTCCTCCGAGTCAACTTCAACCTCCCATTCACCCTATCTCTCTTAATTTCCATACCCAATATCTTCTTTGCTTTATCAAGGTCCTTCATCTCAAATTCGGATGACAACTCCTTTTTTAACTTTCTAATGGCTGAGGAATTCCTGAAAGCAATGAGTATATCGTCAACATATAACAACAAATAAATATACTCACCATCTTGTATCTTGTTCATGTACATACATGAGCCATATGGGCTCCTTGTGTACCCTTGGTCAATCATGAAACTTTCAAATCTCTTGTACCATTGTCGTGGTGATTGCTTCAATTCATAAAGAGATTTTTTTTCAGTTTACACACCAAATCTTCCTTGCCTGTAGCTCTAAATCTTATAATTGGTTATGACATATAGATCTCCTCTTTTAAATCTCCATGTAGAAAGGCCGTTTTCACATCCATCTGGACTAAATCTAAATCCAGTTGTGTCACCAATGCCAATAGTATTCTAATTAACGAATGCTTCACAACTGGTAAGAATACCTCATTGTAATCAATGCTCTCAAGCTGGTCATACCTCTTGGCAACCAATCTGGCTTTGTATCGAATGTCCCAATTAAAAGATCCTTCTTTCTTTGCATATACCCACTTGCATCCAATTGTTTTCTTGCCCTTCGGTAGCTTTGCAAGTTCTCAAGTGTCATTCTTTGGAAAAGAGTGCATCTCCTCCTTCTGTGATATCCCGCTAGTCTGGCCTTCCTCCACCTGCTGAGGGACTTAAGGTCTCATCATATACGCCTCATCAAAAGTAACATCTCTGCTAATGATTATCTTCTTGTCTTGTAGATCCCACAACTTGAATCATTTAACTCCATCTCTAAATCCCACAAAGATTGCTTTTCTAACCCTCAAATTTAATTTCTCATCATTCACATGATAGTAAACTGAACACTCAAAAATCCAAAGCAACTCATAATCACTAGCCACCGATCCAGATCATAGCTCCATAGGAGTCTTCCCATGTATCGCAGTGCATGACAACCTATTCACGAGATGGCTCGCATAAACCAACGTCTCGGCCCAAAAGGATCTAGTCAATCCACTTTGTGAGAGCATACAACGCACATTCTCCAGCAATGTACGATTCAATCTCTCGGTCATCCCATTTTGTTGCGGTCTCTCTCTAACTGTGAAGTATCACCTAATGTCGTGATCCCGGTAAAACTGCATAAATGGTTCATGCTTATACTTACCATCATTATCTAAATGGAGTACCTTCACCTTTCTTCTTGTCTGTAGCTCCACTTTCTTCTTCTATTTCACAAATATATCCAGGACCTCATGTTTATGCTTCATAGGGTATACTCAATTCCTCCTGGAATAATCATCAATGAAAGTGACAAAATAATTGGTCCTACCAAGTGATGTGTGTTTTGAAGGACCCCAAACATATGTGTGAATGTAATCTAATATATCTTGGGTGTTGTGAATTATGGTGCCGAATTTCACTTTTGTCTTCTTCCCAAGTATACAATGCTCACATAACTCCATCTTGCAGGTCTTTACACCTTTCAACAACCTCTGTTTCGCCAATACCTACAGGGACTTATCACTATTGTATCCCAATCTCATATGCCATAAGCTGATAGTATCCTCCTCTGTGGTAATCGAAGCTGTCAGATCTCTTGTTATTGTCTTTCCCTTCAAGTAATAAATATTATTTTCCCTGACACCTCTCATCACCACCATGGACCCCTTTGTGACCTTCAGGGTTGCATTCTCCAAGATTACTCTATAGACCACTACCTTCAAAGTTCCAAGTAAAATGATATTCTTCGTCAACTACGGAACGAATCTCACTTCCTTCAGCTCTCTAGTCACCCCGTTACACATCTTGATTTGGACTGTTTTAATACCATCAATAGGACATACGTGATTATTACACATGAGCATGACATCCCCTCTTTCCAACTCCTCAAAGCTGGAGAATCAATCCTTCCTAGGGTAAATATGGTATGTAGCATCCGAATTCAACATCCACTCTGTAGACTCGGTATAGCAAACTACTGACGGTAGTGTTGGGTATGAGTAGCCCGAAGAATCTGAATTTGAATTGTCATCACTAGCTTTAGTAACATTCACCTCTGAAGTTTGTACGGCTTTTCCCTTATTCTTCCCGGCTCGATCTTTCAACTTTGGGCATTCGTTCTTCTAATGTCCATCTTCTTTGCAAAAAATAAATTGATTCCTACCAACACTTCTATGGCCACCTCTATGCTTTGACTTTGAGCGATTAAATAGATGGCAGTTTGGACTACGGCCTATCACTGCCAATGCATCTCCCAATACCTTCTGCGTGGATTCACCATCATTCTTCCTCAACTCATAATTCATCAATGCTGAGGTCACGCCTTGTAGCTAACAATGGTTCTACCATTAATCATAGTAAGGACAAAAGTACCATAATCATCCTCTGACAACGAACACAATAACAACATCGCATTGTCTTCATCATCTACCATGATATCCACATTGGCCATATCCGACAATAACTTTGTAAAGTTATTGACATGCTCTCTAATGGAAACTCCCCTATTCATTTTGAATTGGTAAAATATTTTCTTCAAATGAAGCTGATTCTCAATGTTTTTCGTCAAGTACTTGTTATTGAGTATTTCCCATAACCGTTTCGTCAACGTCTCGTTCATCACATCATAGATCAAATCCAATGTCAAACATGACCTAATAATCCCACATGCTCTGCTGTTAACCTTCTTCCAAACCTTCTCCTCCAT